TGAGGTGATTTCCTCCATTAATTTTTAAACTCTAGCCAAACATATTTTGCCCATTACCGATAAAAATTGGAGTATGTGTGAGAGAATTATACCTCTTCTCTTGCTCAAGGGAGCTATAGACAACTTGAAAATATTTTTAAATTTTTTTTGGAATTTTGTGAAAGAGAGCCCGATTTTTTTTATCTTTTTTAAAAAGTTCAAAGAAGATAAAAAAAAAAAAATCAATTTGTGATATAATTTATTAAAGATATTATGGAGAATTCAAATGAAATGATCCATTGAGAGTGAGAGACAACACATCAATCGCACCAAATAAATAAAAACAACTAAAACTCCAACAATTCTTCTAAGCACCTTCCAAGATCTCTTAAATAGTTTAACCTAAAAAGTATTGATTAGTATCATAATTATTGTTAATTAACCAAATAATTAAGAAAGGTGTCTTACAACGATTGGATGTTAAGATTTGATGACGAAAATTAAAAAATAAAAATAAAAATTATGGTGGCTATTTACATTTTGTTCGACACATTTGCATAATTATTGCTTTGTTGCGTAATCGACAAAGTCAATGGATAATTAAAAAAATTAAAACTTAAAAATTAAAAATTTAATTTGATTATTTGGTTCATCACTGTTCCACAAGGCGCCGGTGGCGCTGACTAAACAAATAGGGTTGGGTACAGCTCACCACCCTCGCCTCGACGATTCTCCATTGTCATGGTTCCCATCTCAGACTATCAATACTGTTGACCCAATGACACATTCAAAGGGTTCATTTAATAATTTTTTTTGAAATAATAATTATTGCATCTCATCTTATTCAGTTTGTTATGAGCTTTTTGGGAACATTTAGGTCAATTAAGATAAATTCATATAGACATCACGTACACAGGACACAATCCAAAATCTCTTGGTTGGTAGCCAAAGCTCCCAACCAGCAGATTAAGTTAGGGGTGTCAATATTTGACACGACACGAAAATCTGACTCGAATCTGACATGAAAAATTCGGGTTAGACTTGACATGATTTTGAAACGGGTCGGATTCGGGTTCTTGGATCTGACACGTTTGCAAAAATGGGTAGGGTTAGGGTTGACTCGTTTGGATCCGGGTCAACTCGGGTTCGACCCGAACCCGACCCGTGACCTGATTTTGACACCCCCAGTGAGCCGGATTGGTTGGTTGGGAGAATTGGCTACTAATCAAAAGGTCTTAGATTTGAAGTTTGCATATGTGATGTGTGTATGAATTTGTTTTAATTGGCTAAAAAATTTAAAAAATTAATAATCTTTAAGTTATAAAAAAGGTATTATCTTTTTTTTTTATAATTTTTTAGAAAACTTATTTTCTCTAAATAACTTAATGCTATTTTTTATACAAAATTACAGACAATAAATTAACTGTCCTTTTTTTGAACCCACACAAACATGCAATTGAGTCCTATAACTCCCATCTTACATCATTGCTGCCTCGTGGAAAAAGAAAATATCAAATATGTTGAAAATAAATAAATTTAAAAGATAGAATAATTGAGAAAGAATAAATGAATATCCCTTTATATTAGAAAGTTTAATTATTGTCATAAGTTCTAAGTTTGGGGTGCTATTTTATGAACTTAATATATGATAGTAGAGGTGTAAGAGAATTCACTAAAATTTTATGATTTAGGCTAAGGTTTTCATCGGAGTATTACTCTCTAATATATGATGAAAGAGATTGAATTGAGTCCTCATATAGACAACCTAGATATTCATCAGGACATGATAGTTGTCTTATATTTTCTAAATTTAATTTATAACCCGTTATATCCCTAAAAAGTTATCGCTCTTTTAAGGTTATAGTTAAAATTTTGCTAAAGAAGTAAGAGGTTAATTGAAAACTATATGTGAAGTTCATGTTCATGAAAGTTTCTTGTGAATTTCTCATATATGCACAAAACCTTACAAAACAAGCAGTTTTGTCAAGAAGCCTTCAACTACAATATCAACTTATACATCAGTGTGAACACCCACTCAGGATTGTAGTTTAGATAAAATCAAGGCCTAAGCTTATAATCTCCTTTCACCTTTGTACTAAGGGATGCAACTTATTGTTGATGAAATTGCCCCTACTAAAATTATGCATGTGGTGTTAAAATGAGCATCTTGTTAAAGCTCCCGTTAGAAATGCCCCTTTTTTTTGTTTCTCAGGAATTGATACATCAACAGAGGAAAAAGGAAACATATTGTCCAATAATAACCATGGATTAGACATTGACATGAATGCCTTCACAAGAGTATCTTTAGGGTTACCTTCCCTCTCCTTACGTAGTCTTAAATTGCTTCTCACAAATATTGCAAAACTATGAGAACAAATTATGAACTAAAAAATAAATTTATGGGTTACCAAATAATCTACTCTTTTAAACAAAAAATAAATTAGGGATCTTTCTTTGTCATCACCTCTGCACCACCCTTACAATGGTGCACCATAGAGAAGGAAAGATTAATACTAAACTATATAAGTCTAGATTAAAAGAGAAGATGAATATCCTCATAAGAGTTGCCTAATCTAAGAAGGAATGTTAGTCCTTAGTGGAATGGATGACTAACCTTAGTGTTATAAGATTATCTCAAGGATTAAGAGTCTAATATAAGGAAGAGAATATACACAGGGAAAAGAGGTTATCATATGAAAGAGTATTAACCCCATAAGCTTATATTTATAATTATTTTTCTCATGATAAAAAATAGGAGTAATAATTGTTGACTAAGGTAATTTGAGTGTAAGCCAATGTGCACTTCATGTCAAGATTAATTTGCTAAATTATGATTACAAATTTATTCAATATATTGATTATTTCATGTAAACTTTGATATAAGCAAATAAGGATAGCAAGCTTGTCAATATTCAATTTAAGGAGTGGCCATAAAAAGAATGTAAATTATTTCAATTAAATTTAAAATTCTTATAATATTGTTTCTATGCTCTCAAATGTGATGATTGTATGCAAATTTTTATTTATAAAACATGGAAAGAAATATGAGATATATTATACATTACCTGATTATCAATTATGAATTATTCTACTAAAATCTAGTGAAATAATTTTTACCATATATACTAGATTCACTAAAATTGTTATTATTTACATTCATTAAGAAAAAGAGTATTCAAATGCAAAAAAAAATTGACAAAATTCATGAAAATTCATAAATAGTGGAAGTGCTAGAGATAAATGTAAGATAATGAATAAGGCTAACACAAATGTAAAGCTTAAATGATTAGGTAAAATAATGAATAAGGTAAGATAAAACTTTAGTTTAGGCTTCATATAAGCTAATCATGAGTAGGTTATGAAATCTATCACATTTATATTTATATGGATGTAAATATTTTGTACTAAATAATAGAAAATCAAACTTAAATTTGATACAAAATTAGACAAAAATATTTTTTTTAGAATATTTATATGTTGAAAAATCTTTTGAAATCATTAACAAAAAGAGTTTGATAGTTGAAGAATCTAAAGCTTCGTTTGGGATGGCTTTGTTACTGCTTCTTAAAGTAGTTTTTTATTACAAAAATTAAAATTTGTGTACTTGAAAGCTGCTTTAAAAAGTACTAAGAAAGACATCCCAAATGAAGCCTAAATATGTCATAATTGATTAATTGTGTACTCAAAATAAAATTAGAGATGTGATATAGATCTAGACATTATAGGAAATACTAAAACTTTGAAGTTTAACAACAATAAAAAAAAATGATGATCTTCCTACAGAGTGGAGATATAGAATTAGTCATCTAAAAATATATATTATATGATATTACTCTAGTAAAGTTAGAACATGTAATATAATTGAAAAAAATGAATTATATAACATTCACAACTTTAGATGAGTCGCGCGACTATAGCAAATGAAACACTTGTTGATGACTTATGAGATGCAAGACATATTTAATTAGTTTGTTAGAAATGATATTCGGGAACTTGTATATCGACTCATAAGCATATTCGAATTTATTTAAGAATATTAGAACCAACTTCGATGCATTTTAACCTTATTCAAGCTTATTAGAACATCATTCAAACTATTGATTGAAACTATATTCAAACCTTGATCAATCAAGTTTTCTTCGAAGAGGGTCAACTTTTTTTTTTTGAAGAGAACGAATAAGGCTTGAATATGTTCCAAACAAGGCTAAAATGAATTGATCATATTTGAAAATGATCAAATAAATTTCGCTTATATTTTCAAAGTATTTTAGATTGTTCGATGGTGATTTAATCATCATTTTAAAAGGCGAACGTGGTTGGAAGATGATACTATAATGACAATTAATTTGTATATTGAAGTCTAATGGCTAGGCGATTTAAGATTTATAGTGTAAAGCTTGTTTTTAGCTTTAGAAGATAAATAAAAAGATTTACTAACCTTTGAAACATGAGTAGGGAGAATTCATCACCATGAAATTCTACTCAAAGATAAGAGAATTATTCTGTGCGGACATCGGAGGGCGATCGTAGACCAATCATAACGCGCCACGTCACATGGTACACATCGATGCCAAGCACCGATACCGAGCAAAAATATGACATGGCGCATTCTGGCTGATCTCCGATTGCTCTCCGGTGTCCGCACCCAAAGATAAACGCTTTGCAATCTTTCAAAATAGAGAAGGAACAAATGCATATTCGTGTTACTGAGTAGTGAGGAATCCACCTATTTGTTCAAAATTAAAAATATTTAAATTTGATGAGAATGTACAAATAAATATTTCTTAGTAAATAGGATATCAAATAAAATTATTATTTTTAAATATTATATAAAATATAAATTCAAATTTTGTAAGGTCACCATACACAAAAAAAAAAATCTGCATTATATAAACTTTTTATAGAAAAGTTAAATATAACTAATCCTAAATTTAACTAACGTTGCAATCAGAAGAGCACAGCCGTCGGCCGTCTCTTTCTACGTCGTAATCTTCTGTTAATTATTTTTAAGAGCACCGGACGGGTGGGGCAAAAGGTTAACGACGGGAAGCCGCCTTCCCAAAAAATCCCCATTTCCTCACCGCATAAATGCTCTCTTCCTCCTAGGGTTTTCTCCTCGAGATCCCTCTTCCTCCTCATCTTTTCCTTCGTTGCCCGAATCTTATTGGTCTTGTAAGCCATCCGTCCCCGAAAAAGTTCTATCTTTGTCAAGGATTAGGGATTTATAGAATCAGAATTCTAGGGTTTCGCCGATCTTCCTGAAACGAGAATGCCCACCATGGACTATCAGAGCTCTTCCGTTCCATTCTCGTCGATCGGCCGTTCGATCCTGAGCCTCCGGCGAGATCAGGTTCACGCCATGGATGGCCAACACGAGCTCGGTTCGAGCCAGGAGCAGGAGCTGGATTTCTTCCAGCGTCATGTTGCCGATCTCTTTGCGGACCTATCCTCTTCCGGCGGAGAGGAGCTGCTCTCCCTTGCCTGGGTCCGTAAGTTACTCGATTCATTCCTACTTTCCCAAGAGGAATTCCGTATTATTCTCTTCAATAACCGGTCGATCCTCTCTCGCCATCCACTGGATCGGCTAATCGCCGAGTTCTACGAGCGCGGGGTGAAGGCCCTCGATATCTGCAACGCCATACGCGACGGGATCGAGCAGGTGAGGCAGTGGCAGAAGCACATCGAGATCGTGCTCGTTTCCCTAGATCCGTGCAACAAGCCCATTGGCGAGGGCCAGCTCCGCCGCGGTAAGAAGGCGCTGACAGATCTCGCCGTGCTTATGCTTGATGAAAAGGACCCGGCTTCCGTTCTTGCTCAGCGAAATCGTTCGTTTGGCCGCAATAGCCAGAGCTCTAGCAAGGATTGTCACCGTGCCGGTGGCCACTTCAGGTCGTTGTCCTGGAGCGTTTCTAGATCATGGTCGGCTGCACGTCAGCTGCAGGCTATTGGAAACAACATATATGCTCCTCGTGGCAATGAGATTGTGGCTACCAGTGGGCTTGCGAACCCTGTTTTCACTATGAATTTGGTTCTTCATTTTGTGATGTGGGCTCTGGTTGCAGCGATACCTTGTCAGGACCGTGGATTTCAAACTCATTTTTCAATTCCAAGGAGCTTTTCTTGGGGTGTTTCGATTTTGTCACTGCATGATAAGATAATGGAGGAATCGAAGAAGAAGGAAAGGAGGAATTCTGTTGGGTTGTTGAAGGAGATTCATCAGATTGAAAAATGCACCCGCCATTTGTTGGAGTTGACTGACTCTCTTCAGCTCCCAATTGCAGAAGAGAAGTTGATGGAGTTGAGAAAAGGGATGCAAGAATTGGGTATTGTGTTTGATGCTTTGAAGGAAGGATTGGAGCCATGCGAGCGCCAAGTCAGAGAGGTTTTCCATAGGATTGTGCGCAGCCGGATGGAAGGTCTTGATTCCTTACATAAACATGATTGATCTTTTTTAACAGTTTTTTGTTGGTTGTTCTCAGTTTAGACTCTTGCTGTGTTTCCTACTTTAAAATTCACCTTCCATGAATTCAATTGCACCAACCTGTTGCAGAAGAAGGTAAAGGGTAAGAAGAAGAACCATTTTGTCAAAACGTCTCTCCTGCTAATAAAGTTGAAGCAGTTAGTTTTCTTGTATTTATTGTATTACTTCAATGTAAAAAAGTATTTAATTGTAATGCCTGTTGATGTTAGTGTCAAGTTTTGTTTTATGTTCTTGTTGTATAAATTTTTCTTTTGAAGTTTTGAATCCTCAACATTTTCTTTTCTGCAAAATGTTTGGTTTACAGTTTGCTCCATATCAGCATCATCTAGTCTTCTTGGTGAAGTTCTGTAATGGGTTCTTATCCTTTGATACCATTTTCAGTTTACTTTTGTTTCATAAAGATTTTGATGTGACGCTTCAATGCAATGAAAAAAATTGTTTGGGGATATCTTAATCACCACCATTTGATTTTCATATGAGTGTAATTTGAAGATTGATTGACACTCCATCTTAATATAAATCTTCTCTCAATACAATCCTTATACCTGTAGCAACAAGCTTCAGAGTTCAGTACCCATTATCTTCATGTTTGAGTATGGTAATTTCCTCTCATGTTTGCTTATGAGTTATGAGAAGTTTGATTTAGCTTCACTGCTTGTTTTTATGGATTTCATGTTGTATTATGGATTATCATAATTGTTGTTAGAACCTTTAGGATTCACCGTACATAACAATTATTTCTTTTAGAGAGATTCTAGTCGAAGTTCTTGCCTTAGATGGTCACATGATGGATAATCCACTAAACTTAGAATTTGTTTGGGGAGAAATTATTCTGTGTGGGTGTTCACGGATGTTGAACGCCGTCTAGAGACCAACTAGAATATGCCACGTCACCCCCAGCTTGGTACTCAGCTCGGTACTGCTGGCGTGACGCATCCGAACGATAAATTACGTTTGTCGTCAGCACGTAATGATTTTTTTTGTTTGGGATACATAATAATTTTTTGTGTTTGGGATGAATTTTTTCCTGCTTTTTAAAGCATTTTTGTTACAAAAAAATTGTAATTTAAATAAGTTGTGTAATAAAAATTGTTTTAAAAAGCTGAAAGGAAGCTGTCCCAACAAAAAAAAAGAAGCCTTAATTGGAATTTTATACCTTACCTGTATTTAATGTAATAAGGGATGGTTTTTTAGGTAAAGATAGATGTCTATGTTGTAGCCTAGAAGACATAGATTTGGGCTTCGTCTGCGACGGCTTTTTTTTTGCTTCTTGAAGTAGCTTTTTAGTATGAAAATTAAAATTTTTGTAGTATAAAGCTGCTTCAAAAATGTCGTCCCAAACGAAGCCTTATAACGAAAACACAACTTTTCTAAGTAGGGATGAAATCTGAATTGACGGAAGCTTCAGGCATTAGATGTGCCTCTTCAGCTTTGTTTAATGAAATATTACTGAAGTATGAATAATTTGTTTTCCGTATTATCTTATGTAATGAATATTTTATTTATTTAGTTGAATAATACTGTTTTAATATTTCTTGGGACAAAAGTGTATTATCTGCTTGTGATTCTTTGTACTGCTTGCATCCCATTGATCATTCTGTATATAAAAATATGCCTCACAAGATATGGGCATCATAGGACATTGAGATTCATCAATTATTGAAATAATTTGATATTATAATTTTTATATTTAAAAAATAATTTAATAAATAGAATATTAAGAATAATTAAAAAATAATAAATCATTTAATTAGGATTTGTGCTTAAAATGAATAATATTAGGGTGCCAAGAGTCGGATTTCATGTTTCAAGCATCATAGAGTGGGAGACGAAAATGTTGTTAGGAGTTTGGCATTGAGCATCTGTTCAAGACAATATAGTCGTCTATTTTGAGATGATGTTAGGCAAAGATGAGATGTCGAGACGACGGGAGAGCGTGATTGGAAATTCCGATGCTTACCGTATCAACAACTTAAAGTATATCTCTCTTCTTTTGTTTTTTTATAGATGGAATAAAGTTGAGAGTTTCACTAAAATTTGCCTCTAAATTTTTTATCAATTAAATTTTTTATTTTGGAAAAAGTGAGGGCTAAATCTCAACATATTAAAATGATTACACAAATTGGGAAATTTACATACATACCATTTTATTTCATGTTATTTACATATTTAACATTCAAAATTTTAATATTGCATGCCTACCACTCATATACAATTTTATTGTCAAATATATGATTTTTATAATTCATTTCTACCGTTCATACCTTCCTATAAACTTTAATATTTTATTTTATACACTCAAATTTATTTTATAAATGATAGAGATGTAATATTAATATTTTGGAAGCCACAAAAGTTCTAATTTTGTAGAAGAGAGAAACATGACTAAAACTCTCCTTTCTATTACAAATTTAGACAAATAATGAGCAATTATATCTTCATTATCTTAAAATAGCCAAGGAGCTACAACACAGAAGAGCTTAAGGTTTCGTTTGAAATGACTTTTTTACTGCTTTTTAAAGCAGCTTTCTAATGCTACAAAAGGCAAGAGGGGAATAGAAGGACTACCAAGAACAAATTCATCAAGGATGAAAAATACAATTCATTTATTCAAAACAAATGGTATCTACTTGCAAAGCTAATAATACAAGGCAAGACAGCTCTTATTTAGGTTAAATATTCACAAGGACCCAACGAACACTGCTCTTTTTAAATTGCAAATGGTCTCATATCTATCTGGCTATAACTGAACTTGTACACTACTATCGATTAATAAAATATGCAAGAAAAGTATATATCCTTTAGAAGAAAAAGAAGAAAAAGAAAAGGCCACTAGCACAAGAAAGACAATGAGACACTAGCTGTAAATAACTATCAAGTTCTAATAATATGGTACATGGCTATAGGAAGCTGTTCCTTGTACACCTACTTCAAAAAAACTGTCTAAAACGGTAAGAATACTAGTCACAGGAGGTTACTCTATGGCTACATAATTACATTTCCTCTTAGGAAAGAATAAAAAAAATTCAATTAAAGAGCCATAATTTACAACATATCAATAAAATGCCCCAATATCTCTAGCTTCAATATGAAAGCCTCACTAGTCCGGCAGAAGTGGCTTGATCATGAAAGTTTGCGTCAACTATTAGAGAGATTATTCTGTGCGGATAACGGGCGGAGAGAACCATTCGGTTTTCTCTCTGTCAACAGTAAAAACGCAGCTGCTACGCTTTTACTGTAGACAGAGAGAAAACCGGACGGCTCTCCCGTCCGATGTCCGCACAAAATAATCTGTCCAACTATTATCCTAGAGAACTGACTGCACAATGAATGGGAGAGTGGAGAGGACGAGAAGGTTGAAGTTGTGAAAGGAAGGCCAGAAAAGTGTCAGCGGAAGAGTTCGGGAAATGACCACATTATAAACTTAGCAAAGATGTCAGTTTCGAGGAACTCAATGTGGGCTGCTCTGCCAATGAAGGTATTCAAATTCTTCCCCTGGTTAGATGAGTCAAAGTTGACGTCGCAACGCATAAATATTCGCTGCTCAGATGAGGGAGCTCGGATTTGATCGAGGCAGTTGTTGAGCATTTCTAAGAACACTTGAGCTTTCTTAGAGTAATCTGATGAAGAAGCTGGGCATAGCTCGATTCTGGCTGAATGATATGGAACATAACCATCCTAGAAAAATGAAAGGCATATACATATTTATCAGGTTAGTAAGCATTTGCAGTTATGGAGAATTATGAATATGAATTTTGATCAAAATACTTCTTAAAAACATATTTGGATGCAGCTTACTAATATGCCTTAGAATGGGAAGCACTTGCATTGTAATAATATATAAATAATTCAGACAATGCAGTGTATTCTAAGATACAAAACGGCTAAGAGTGATCTAGCTAAAAGTAAGAAAACAATAACAAAAAATAAGGAACAAATGTCGTAAGAAAAATTAGCTAATTCAAGCATGCCTCAATTTTGATTATGTTCTTTAGACATTTGAATGGAGGATTAAGAATATCTTAAAAGATGAACACTGTGTGTATATATATAGATTACTTCTAGACTTATCTCTTTAAGAGAATCTGAAATTCTATTATACTATTGCATGCAACCCCTGTAAACGAACAAAAAGTAAAAAAAGAATATAATTAACCAGACTACCTAAATTTAGGCAATGCATATAGAAAATCTTCCCCTAGAAAGTGTTAATCATCAAGGTAAAGGATTTCGGTTGAAGATCGCTCCAAGTTTGGTTGATTTTTATCTCAGATCAAGTTCAAATCAAGTTAAACAAGCTGAGACACGTCCAATTTTTAGCTTGGCCCATTCTTTAAGCTAATTTCGAAATGGGCATGGATTGGAACGACACGTGCCCGATGCATTCCTCCACTTCAACCATCCAACTTGAATTCTACTAATAATATCCCCATCAATATTACCATCGCTTTAAATAAACCCAAGTATCTAAAATGTACTCTCTTTTTAATGACTTGATTATCCAAAGTCATATTCCCACCACTAGATCTATTATTACTAAAATTACACTCCATGTATTCAATTTTAGATTTACTCAAATAAAAACTTTTAGGCCACATTGAAAAAATCTTTATTTAAAAAAAAAAAAACTGTACCCGAAAGAAAATGAATACCTGTGGTGAGGATAGTAGGATAATATTCTTGAAGCTCTCTAAGGTCTGCTGCTGAAAAAGATAAATAACGGGTATAAGTAATTTTGCAAATGAAGTGTATCTCACAAAATTAAAGAAGATAACAAAGCAAGAAGTGAAAAATTAAAGACAGCAGGTTATGTTTTCAACCTCAGTAATTGTCACGCAATGAAACCTAGACTATAGCTGCTTGATAAGCATGTAACTACGCAAAAAAAAACAGAGGAAGACTTATAAATCCTAATTTCCACAATATTTCGACGGTAAATTGCCTAATTAAGAGACATTTAAGGGGAAGCTCTGAACCCGCTAGCCCAATTGTTAGAATTGTTGGATGTTGCCGCTGGAAGCAAGTCACCAACTCATTTTCTAAGAACTAGAACAAAAGCAAAAAGCCCGCCAGTTCCCATAGGTCTATCGTGATATATTGAAGCAAACATTTGGTCAAATGGGACCATAAATTTCCCTTCCATACTGCAAAAAATAATTTAGTTTAAACAGCTCACATTGGCCTGTTGGTTGAGAGCTTATGCTTCCAATTAAGAGGTCTTGGGTTCAAGTATTTGTGTACGCGTTGTGTGTGTGAGTTTGCCTTAAATGGCCTAAATGTCCAAAAAAAAAATAATTTAGTGAAGCACACCCTCAGCAACTATGATGCACCGACACTTCTCCTCAAAGAGGCGTGCAGTGTCCGACACCGTGTCCGTTACGACACTCATCCGACACTCCTCCGACACGTGTTCGATTAAAAAAATATTAAAAACAAATTGGACACGCGTGTCCGACACGCGTATCTTAAATATTTTATAATTTTTTAAAAATATAATATCTTATATTTGGCGAGATTTAAACTAAATTTCTTATTTCATATCCATAACACCAAATCAACGTCTGCATTTAATACCCATTCATCGAATCTTTTCATCCGTGCATCATAGCTCAGCAAACGCAATTTATTTTTCCTTTTAAGAATGTGTTAATGAATGCTTCTCTTAGGCTAATCCTTCCAAATAACTGCAAATTAAAATGAACTGTTCACTTACATACACAGGTGTTAGACCGGTCCAGCCGGTCCATATAGGACCGGCTTATGGGCAACAGAGGCAGAAATCCTCCGCCTCCTATACGTGCCGATCAAATCGTCGGGATCAAAAGAGCAATTTAGGAATGTTTTTTGAGGGAGTTAGTATGCAATAAATAGTTTGTTTTCCTAGGATTAGGGCATCTTGAATTTAGTTGAATTTGAGATCTCTTAGGGTTTTTTGGGCTTTAGCGGTGTTTAGAGATTTGGGAGAGATAGAACCTCCTCTCGAATTGAGGATCGACTGTATCTTGGTATTTTTCTTCCGTATCTTTGATTATTGCAATAAAAATTAATATTTTTTTTCTGATTTTCATTGGAGTTTGGAAGAGTGTTCTTGCTGTTTTTTCTGAAATTAATAGGATTTACTTAAAATCTTCAAGTGTTTCCTATCAAAAGGCTCTCTTTAAGGGGTTTTATATTAAAATAAAATGAACGCCTAGACCCTTTTTCTTTCCTACCTTACACATTATAGGAGAAAATTCACCATTCACCCCTGATGGCTCAGATACTCATAAAGTTGATGGATGCAGTGAATGCAACAACAACAAATGGTTTTAAAACGATGGATTCAAACAGACCAATGGGAAGAGTTACGTTGAAAAATGAAAATATCTCATAAATTTAAAATTTTCAAATTTCTCATGGAGAGTATTGTGATTAATTTCTTAATTTGAATCGACAATAATATAATATAATTGCTAGCTTTGGTTAATTAGTGGTATTTGCACATATGAAAAGGTAATTCACATCACCTTACACAGTTTGTAAAAGAAAGTATTCTGGAGATCAGCATCATCACTGAAAGTAAGCTGATGGATGCACTGCGTGTTTTTGAGTTTCTTCAAGACCCACAAACCAGAGTTGAATAAAGAGTTGGAGCTGTACCAGTACCCCAGGTGTGGCCCAGAAACTGACATATATGTATGAAGGTTCTTACGATAAGGATCGAACAACCTGTCTGTAACATTGCATATGGAATTCAGAATATTATTTGGTTAAGATTCACAAATTAAGTTTTAATTTATAGACAAAACCTGTTAAAGCAGTTCTTATTATTATGTTTCCAATAGAATGGCCGACAAAGCTAAGCTTTATGTCGTTGCAACCTCCATATCTGGAAAGCTTGTCAATCTTTTTCCTAAGAAAAGCAACTACTTCTTCAGCCAATCTGCTTCCCATTTCCCTGAAATCTCCGGAAGTTTTTTCTTCATTAACCTCTGACATCAGACACTCAGCACCTGGATCTAACAATAGCCACTGATTCCTAACCAGACGGAGATCCAGATGGTGCCCCTGCATTGATATTATCAGGAAATCATGCTTGCAGGGCAATCAATATAATAACAGTAATAAAATAAAGTTTTTCTTGTATATCCGCGTGCAACTTCAATCATTTATTGCTCCCGATATTAGCAAAAATATGAATGAACACAAATTTATAAAAAATTAAAAATTAAAATATGAGTTGGCTTGTTTATTGAATAGAGAGAGGGGGTTGCCTTTCAGCAAACAAGATTCTGTTCTCGAGGAAAAAAATACAATTGTTAATAATTGGTTTACTAGAACATAAGTGTCTGTTACGGTTCTGGCCGAAACGCCCAAACCGGCCCATATGGGGCCGGTTCATACCCATAGGAGGCGGGCTAAGCAGCCTCCTTTAATGGCTGCCCAATCATTTGGGCCCCCCTAGGGCGGCAAGGAGAGAGAGGGAAGGGGAATAAGGAAACTATTTGTACTAATGTTTGTTTTAGGAGATCTTTTATTAGTTTTTATTAAGAAGATATGTATTAAAAGAGGAGAGGAGGCTAGGGTCAGGGCATGCATTATTTGAGTTATTCTCTTGGAGTTCTCTTAGGGTTTTGGGCTCTAGATTCATCGTCTAGAGATTGAGAGAGAACGATCCTCCTATCGAACTGAGGATCAATTGTATCTTTATTTTTCTTTTGCTTTACTTTGATTTCCCTAATAAAATATACTGTTTTGGGTTGATTTTGTTGGCCAACTTGTGTGCTTTCTCGCTGATTTCACCAATATTCGTTAGCGTTGCTTGCAAACTCAAGTAAATCCAATAGGATTACTTGCGAACTCAAATATTTCCTATGAGTGTCAAAAGGTAGATCAGAGAAAATATTTATATTCTTAACATGTAACAGTTGATACATAAATTCCAAATTCCAAATTGCCACATATGCAACGATTTAGCTATAATGCTAAGCAGATTAAAAGAATTGGAAATAAAGTCTAAACAAATTCAATTTAAATCTTTATCAAATTTATCAATCATTATAGCATGCTTCCTGTTGACCCCATAAACTCATGTGTGCTCTAGAATTTAATGATTACAAATAAAATAAGGAATTTGGATTAATGCATTTGAGTTTGTGCAATAAACAGATAAGCTGTCAGGACATTAAAAGCACATGAGAACAGAGTCATTAAGTATTTCCAGTCTGTAAGAGTAACAAAAGGAAATTATAGAAGTTAGTAGGCGTGTAAGCAAGTGATCAAGGAGCATTTTAAATTGCTAAAATTAAGTGTTTTTATCATATTCATATTTTGAAATAATATTTTTAAGCAGAGTAATTTCTAAAAAGAAAGGAGTCAAGAGAAGTGCTATGCTTTATGGAGTGTTATGGAGAGTTCTTGAAAAGAAAGGAGTCAATAATGCTTATATTCAAATCATTAAAGATATGTATGCAGGAGCTATTACTTGTGTGCAAACACAAGGTGGATTGACCAAGTATTTCCCTATTTCGGTTGGGTTACATCAAGGATCAGATGAGTAAGTTCTATCCATTAACTAAATTGAGTTTTCAAAATTAGGCATTAATTATTTTATTATAATTCAGAATATGAAATTTAATTTGTTTTATAGGCATACATAAACCTTTAAGGGCCTCTACAAAGTTACTAATTCTTCACTTAACGAATAAGTGATTTGGTTTAGTTCAAGTTTCCAAGAAATTCTGGGTGATATCATACACCCGGGCATGGATGTAGATTGCAGCAGAACTACATAAAAATTGGTGTGCTTATGGGTTCTGATGAGGACATCGTCAGCAATTTCGACATGTGTGCCATCGGAGACACCGGAGATCGACGGCCACGATCAGGAGTTTTATTTATTTTGTCATGTTACATTTTATTTGCTCATAAATTATTTTTCATTGCGATAATTTGTTTGCAATTAATCTATTAAAAATTTTAAAAGCTCAATCCCCAACCCCCTCTTGGTCAGGTGCAAAACTACACTTCCAAGGCTTTATTCTCCTACAAAAACAATGCCCAAAATAGCAATTCAATGTTGAGTCTTCCCTTGCCATGTTTCTAAAAGCTATTGTACAAAATATATATATAAACACCTTTTAAATTTGCTATTCTTAGCAATTACCAAGTTGTTCACTTTATTCTTAAATATATTTTCCCTACAAAAGGAGAGATAAAATATTGAACAGATGATCCCAAATATACTCCATATTTTAATGATCACAAATTACACTAAGAAATTTAGAATGATGTTTCAATGAATTCCATACAAAAAATAGGTACACCGTCATAATGAATCAAGCACATAAAGACAGACTTAGTAGTTTAGAAAAATGTCATGCGTCAAACAAAATATCAGAAGTATATAAGGCAAGCAATGCGAGGTCAAATTTATCCTAAGTGGCCAAACTAGGTTTTCACTATATTTATTTATTAAATTATTGATTTTCCAAATCAATATGTTTTTAAAAATGTCACCTAAGCCTACACTGAAGATTAACTAAATGAAGGCCTAGAAGATTAGGCCCTAGCCCTTTATTGAAAAATTACAATTACAATATAAAATGAACAGACATTAGGGGAATCCGCAAAGTTTGCGGGTCTCCACAAAATGTTAGTAGGCCTCTATAAATTTCGCGGTGCACTGCTAAGTTATAAAGATTGGATTATTGAAAAATAATTATTACGGACTCCACTGAGTTTTCTGGGTCTCCACAAAATATTTAGCGGGTCTTTACAAAGTTATATGGGCAAACACATCAGATTTGGAAATAATTAAATAATGAATGCTAGCCATTTGGAGCCTAATCAATTGAGAAAATAAAAGGAATTTGACATTGGCAGGTTGCAAAAAATTTGAAAAACCCTTGTTTTATTATTTTAATTAATTATTTGAAATCCTAGAGCTCTACTATGAATATTCTCTTATACCTTTGGTATAAATTAATGCCTACAAAAAATCCTAAGTGCACTTTTCAAAAACAGAGAAAAGCTTAAGTGAACTTCCATATCTACTGGAGAAAAGGAATATGCTTGCATTGCCATGACAAAGTCCCTCAATGTTTTGTAGATTGTTGTGCTCGACTACTTCACACAAATAGTAAATCCGTATATAAGGACCCAGTAACTCCTATAAATTGATTTTTTATTGATTTGATATGTATTTTGTTAAGTGGTCTGGAGGATAACGCCTAGAGAAGGTACCCTTGAAGGAACAAAAAGAGAGGGAGGTTGCCCCAAAGAGGGGATTGGTGTAAAGGCTTCTGCGCCTGCTAAAGAAGTAAAATTTTCTTTAGTGAAGGTTGTGCAAGAAATTCTAAGTATTATAAATACTTAGTGTGAACATAGGTTGCAGCCAAATCACGTTAAAATCATTTCGTGTTCTTATAGTTATTTATTTTTACATATTATTATATTTTCATGTCTTGGTACTGATTCATTGATTTATATTATGTTGTTTTGTGGAACAATTTTTTTTTTTAAATTCCAACACCCAATTCAATGCTTTAGGTAGGGTTGTTAAAATAGGTTTTCGTGTTCGGATTCAGGTCCAACCCGAAACTGACATGCCTTCAATTAATCCAACCCGATTAGGCGAACGAGTTACGAATTCAGACCCAGACCCGACTTATCGGGTTGACCTGACCTAACCCACTAACCCGGATTCCGAGCATGATTGCAAACCAGCGAGGACGGGGGAAATTCGGTGAGCTCGGGTGAGAGGTGCGCGATGCGTGCGAGCAAGAATGAGGAACGAGCTGCGCGACCTGAGAGTGAGTGTGGGGAGTGAGCAGAGGTGCGGCCAGCAAGGTGCGAGCACGAGCTATAGGCGATTGATTTGTGGGCGGGGCGCGGATGTGAATACACGGGCAGTGAAACGAAGCCTGTGCCGGTGCGAGAATGTGGGTGCCGGCCAAAACTAAGGTCATATCCGATTAGGTTGGCGGGTTGACTCAGACTAGACCCGATTTTTCAAACGGGTCATAAATTGGAACCCGAATCCGACCTGTTAGTTCAACAAATCTACCCAAACCTAGATTTTCTGGGTCAGGTTCACGACGGGTTATTGGGTCAGGTCAATAATTGACAACCCTAGCTTTAAGCAAGCTTTTTTCTTAGTAATTCATCCAATCAAGCAGGTGTGCAGGGGGTTCATGGATGTGGTTCACTATGTAAATATATGCATGTGCATTTTTGGGTTTTAGGGCAAGTGTTTTTTCACCTCTTTTTTTTTATTTTTTTTTAGGGGTGCCTTTGGCTGGGCTTTTTCTAGAATCAATGTTAGTTCGGCCATGATAGTGTTGTAAAGTGCATATTAAATATTCACATTTCAGCACAAATAGATTAAGATACCTGAAATCCATGTACAAACACCACAACTTTTAGCACACGGCCATTTCTAATGCCAAGAACAGAGGTTTCAGTTGCATTCTTTTCGCTAAAACCCGTAGTTACTCCACAAGGGTCATTCTCCTCTGAGGTAGATAACAATAAGTTGTCACTAGAACCATGCACAGGAACATTCATGATATGTTGTTCTATAATAACAACAGGTATGCGTGAAGGATCACCGAAAATCTGCATGTCTTGAATTGATCTGTTATTAATCTGCATGAGTTACAAAAATATGGGGGGTCAATATGCACAAACAATAGAGAACATTGAAAAATCAGAATGTGTACCTTCATTTGTGCAATGCTTTTCCTGTGCAGCTCAGCACGAGCAGTTGCACTTTGTGCTGGCTTCTCATGTTAAAAATAAACTATTCAATAAGTACTATGTGATTGGACCTGTTAGTTCAACAAATCTACCCAAACCTAGATTTTCCGGGTCAGGTTCACAACGGGTTATTGGGGCAGGTCAATAATTGACAACCCTAGCTTTAAGCAAGCTTTTTTCTTAGTAATGTATCAAATCAATCATGGATGTGGTTCACTATGTAAATATATGCATGTGCATTTTACGGTGAGTTTGTGTTGGGTTTTAGGGCAAGTGTTTTTTCACCTCTTTTTTTATTTTTTTTTTTTGGGGTGCCTTTGGCTGGGCTTTTTCTAGAATCAATGTTAGTTCGGCCATGATAGTGTTGTAAAGTGCATATTAAATATTCACATTTCAGCACAAATAGATTAAGATACCTGAAATCCATGTACAAACACCACAACTTTTAGCACACGGCCATTTCTAATGCCAAGAACAGAGGTTTCAGTTGCATTCTTTTCGCTAAAACCCGTAGTTACTCCACAAGGGTCATTCTCCTCTGAGGTAGATAACAATAAGTTGTCACTAGAACCATGCACAGGAACATTCATGATATGTTGTTCTATAATAACAACAGGTATGCGTGAAGGATCACCGAAAATCTGCATGTCTTGAATTGATCTGTTATTAATCTGCATGAGTTTCAAAAAAATGGGGGGTCAATATGCACAAACAATAGAGAACATTGAAAAATCAGAATGTGTACCTTCATTTGTGCAATGCTTTTCCTGTGAAGCTCAGCACGAGCAGTTGCACTTTGTGCTGGCTTCTCATGTTAAAAATAAACTATTCAATAAGTACTATGTGATTGTATTATAAACACAACATACCATTCAAAAAATAAAGAACATAAATTTGGAGAAATAATATTAAACTGTTCTCATTAATGCACTTACATCATCACCATATTTTCGTTGAGCAGCCTTTCCAAGAGCGCTGCGTTGTGATGAGTCATTAGAATTACTTCGCAAATAGCGATGAGGAATCTCAATCTTAGAATGGACCATCCAAATTGACCATTCCGCCTTCCTATCAGCAGTCCATGTACTGTGTAGATGTTCAATTATCTTTATTCTATGAGCCCTGGATCAAAAATGTTAATTATATTATGTAAAAAATTGTTGGCAACGGCATGTATAAACAAGTTATTTGTAAAAGTCCCAAGGAACTTGGCATAAAAAATAGGACAATAATAACAATAGAAGATCTATTTAAATGAGTGTTTGTAAAAAAGCACAATCTAAAAAGTGTACACACACACTTGCAAATACATACACATACCACATTTCAGTAATCACTCATCCACACTCATCCTATAAGGAGAAATAATGAATTAATTGTTGGTAGGCTGTGGCACAGCATAATAAAATTACCTTGCCAGACTATTTGCTGGATATGTTGCAAGTGCAAGTTCAAGCCATGTGATCCCATCAAACAATCAATATAAGATGAAAACTATAAGGTTTAGGCACGGTTCACCAATATCACTTTAACTCTTCTCAAAGCATCAACATATTCTATGACAAGGAAATCTAGTGCTTAAACATATAGTCCTAAAGAAACATTGAAGAAAAAAATACATGGGCTGTGCTATTTGCAATATTGAATACTTGATAGGTAGGAGAATAAAACTACCAATGAAAAAGAGTACGAAATGGTGACTTTAAATATCTGCTCAGGTAAATTACAGCTAAACATCAAACAATCCTCTCCCCTCAGTGAAACAATAAGGTTAAATGACGAATCTGGTTAACTGCAATAGACACAACTCCCAAGATTGTCATTTTGAGATGGGTCAAGCATGTTTAAGATTGATGAGCAGATTTTGCATCTCCAACAGAAGGATGTCAGTATGATAGGTCATGCAGGGAAAATACAACATGGCCTGTACGATTTGCAATGTATCTTGTAAAATATAGCATGGGTCGTGCTATTTGGAATGCTTAATAATTAATAGGTAGGAAAAATAAACTATCAACGAAAAAGAGTATAGTGCTGGCTCTAATATCTTCTCAGGTAAATTACGGCTAAAGATCAAGCAATCATCTCCCCTCCGTGAAACTTTAAGTTAAATTATGTTTGAACAGGTTAGCTTGGCAATTGATACAACTCTCAAATTTTCATTTCGAGATGGATCAAACGTATTTAAAATTGATGAGTAGACTCCATGCAAGGTTTTGCCTCTCCGGCAGAAAGATATCAGCCTGACAGGAAAGTTCTTGCAGTTTGCACGTTTGTCTTGTCACGTCAATCGATGCTGTTGTATTGATTATAGATGCAGCATTCTTAGGGGCTGTTTGGCTGCAACTAGGATTTTACTCGATCAGGATTTAGTACATCCTATAAATATGCTTTATTAAATCGTGAAGCAGTTAAATCCTGAAATTTTTAAACATGATAGAGAGTTAATCCATTTAAATTTTGATGAATTGTTTGGATATTTATTTCATGATTTAAGTTTGTTATTATAAATAACATTTTAATGATTATTATTGAGAATTAAAAAATTATTGCTTGAGATCATAAATAACACAAATAAAATTTAAATTAATTATCAATTAGAAAATTATTAAATTTATTTAATACAATAACTTCTACATGGTAATTAAGCTACAAATAAATCATTTTTAATCAATATTTTTGATTAATTAATATTAGTTAGGATGACGAATTTATTTTTTAATTAACATATTTGTATCTAATACATTTGATTGATTATTAATAATATTTGATAAGTCACGAAAAAATTACCTTGATCAGGTACAAATCTCGAGGCATATTCAAATTGCAAACTCCTGAAATTAAATTTGGGACCATTTGAACTCCAATTTCAGAAGACTTATAGTCGAATTGAACGCCTTGATGATAAGAACCCAATGTTCACCCTCAAGAAATGTGAAATGTTATGCTACGGCATGAACTCCACTTCGCAAGCTTAAGGTCCCATTTTTTCTAAGGTACATTGGATTTTTAATTTAACAAGATTTTTCCCAATGATCGGCATTAGGGTTTATTTAGTTCTGAGGTTTCACTTCATATGAGCACAAGTGCTCATAGTTAATTGCCCCTTCTAACGCATAGAAGAGCACTCCCAATTAAGGATGAAAGCATATTTAATTATGCAAGAAGTGTAGAAGTGCAAGTGTTTTAGTCTTAATTATGGAGGGATGAAGGTCTACCCTTTGTGTTAGCTCAAATGTCTCTCTCAGCCCTTTAGGCTTCAATACCCTGAGCTCTCCCGTATGTCCTCCCTAACTCCTTTCATGAAATTCCCCTCCAATCCTTCCTCGGAGATTCCCCTCAATCTCCCTGACAGTAGCTCAAACTTCTTTCGGTACTCCATAACTGTCCCCTCCTAAGTTAGAGCATAGAATTGCTCGGGGAGGTCTCCTTCCCGAATGGCTCGAAAACATTCTAACAAGCACTCCATTCTCCCCATGAGTAGATCAGATATCTCGCCTCCCTTCATTGGAACCATGCTAGGGCTTTCCAAACATAGACCTGCCGCCATGAGTTTTTCCCCTTTAGTCAGCCCGTTGATAGCAAAATAATGCTCCACCTGATATATCCAACCATGATGCATGCAAATGGGAGGTCAAAATAAAATGAGAATTTATTTTGACCCTTGGGCTGCTGTTGTTCTCGGGTGAGTCTTGGTTGCTTGGTACGAAGCTAAAAATGTTGGAATTCTACTTGAGTTAGCTCATAAATGCTTGAGCTGAAGTTTTAGCTCAATGATTGGGGGTTTATTGCACTTCCTAGCTCATTAATTCAAAAAGGTTTGCTATTAAATCTTGGATTTATTTTGGAGTAGACCTTACCTCTTCTCCTCCCTTTTGTCTTCTCATTTTCCTGTGCTGGGTGATTTCCCGTGCCTTTGCCCCTTTGGTTCCTGTGGCTGGTTGCTTGGTTCCGTGGTTTGCTGCTCGGTTCCGCGGCTGTCTGCTTGGTTCCATGGATTTCCTGCTTGGTTCCAGTATTTTTCTTCTCTGTTTTGTTGTGCCGTTTGGGGACTGATGTAGTGGCTTTTGGCCTTTCATTTCCCCAAATCTAATTGGCTTATTTGGTGGTGCTATGGTTGTTTAGTTCCCCTCTCTAGCCTATATAAAGAAGATGTTTTGGCATAAAAAAAGGAGGTGAAAATGCAATTTTTGGATAAGCAAAACCTAAGGGTTTTTGGAAAAGCTTGAGAGCTTTGTCCACTTCTTCTTCTTTTTTATATTGGGATAACTTGCGAGTTACTCCTATCCTTCATCTTGGCTTCTTATCTCTTCCTTCTACCCGCAAGTTTACACCCCACTTGTATCCTTCTTCTAAATGAAAGAAAAGCATCTTTAGGTAGTTTTAAGTTTGGTCTTGAAGGTTGTAAGTGTGTCGTTATGTTTGTATGTGTTCTTTTTATATGTTTTGAAATGTAAGAGTTTGTTTTAAAGTTTCTAAGTTGGCTCTTGTTTGTTGTATTTTCTTATCTCATGTATGTTTTTAAAGATTAGTAAGGTTTTGTTTTTGTAATAAAAAATTAGGGGATCTTTCCTAATTTTTGATTACATCAAATCATGAGCATCCTCCTCTTTGAAGACCAGCATCTTTAGCTTCCATGATCTTGCATCCATATCCCAATGATTTCTCTCACCATTGGTTCTTCCCATTATTGGTGGTGTGATTATCTCCCTTCTTCCCTTGGCAGATTTGGACCCCAAGGTTTAGCCCACCGTCCCTCCTGTCTGGGTGGTCTCCAAAAGGATTCGACCTCCCCTCTCCTTGCTACCCCTTCTTTGGAATACCTTCATGCACCTCCCATCGGAGCCCTTCGGGTTGGTTCTTGAGGAAAAGCCATTTCTACTTCATCATTGTCTTCTTGAAGTCTCTTTCCTTTCGAATCAGCCCTAGGACTAACTAATGAAGCCTTCGACTGCATCTCGATTAATTTCCTCATCATGCCTTCCATGTTCTCGAATCGATTTTCCATTCAGGTTTCAATGGACGACAACCTTCCTTCCATTCCAGAATATTTTTCCTCCATCTCAGCCTTGAGTTGTTCCATCTCTCCTTCCAATGCCTCCATTTTCTTTGCTGCTATTTATGGATTTAGGTTCCAAACCGCAAAAAAAAAAAAAAAAAAAAAAAAAAAGCAAATGGAAGGAATTATGCAGTAGATTACAACGAGGAGACGAAAAAAAAAAAAAAAAAAAAAAAAGCAAATGGAAGGAATTCTGCAGTAGATTACAACGAGGAGATGGTGACTTTTTTAGTCCAAGACACGACGCTAATACCAATTTGATATGCCTTGGAGTCAATTACAGCAAATCGAAATAGGAAATCCACAAAAAAAATAGAAAACAACCGAATTTGGAGGAAATAGTGGTTGATTTCTATTAGTAACTCAACAAGAAGTAAAAGATACAAGCAATCTGCAATTAGAGAAGCAGATCGTTTCTCCCAATCAAGTTAGACGCCACTAGGATGCCTTCATAGAAGAAACTACAACAAGAAACTCAAACAAAACCTAACCCTAATACAAAATAGCATCCCTATATATTCTCCACTTTAAAAAAAAAAACTCCACTCTTCCCTCCAAATCAGCAGGTAAAATATCTTTATTGCCTAATTAAATTCCCTCTCTAATTTGAATTCAAAATCCCTTAACTTATTCCTCTCTTAATCCTCCTAATCACATAAGGAATGATTAGCTTACTGAGACCCACAAGGGGAGCCAAAACCCATGCTGCTCCACCTCCTGCAGCCGGTCCATTTTTTGGCTGCTGAGCATACCATGCATCATAATTATTGTATTTAAAAACTCTAACCTTGAGCCATCTCGCATCACAGTCTACAGTAAGACAATATAATCTAGATCTTGGAACAAAAAAAGCTTATCACTTAATAATAAAATAACAGAACTGCTAAAGGTTGAAAATAAGGTATTTTAAATAAACCATACCTGTGGAACTTTAAAAATGCATTCCATATTAATGAAAGTTGGCTGCCTATGGAGAAAAATACATCAAGAATCTCTTCCTTGGATAGAGAATAGAGCATGACATCATTCCGAATGCCAAACAAACCATTAGATTTCTGCATAAGCAGAGAGAAATATACATTGATCCAGACTTAAAAAGGAAAATGGAGAATAAATAACGAGTCAGGGATGCAAGATAAATGAAGTACCTCTACGATATCCTGAAAAATGCCAGCCAACTGTCCCCCGCCCATCTTCCCACCAGAACTGACACCAGATATATCTGACAGTGTAGAATCACTTAACCCAAATATACCAAAATTTAAATCAGCTTCAGTTAAATCATCAATTTTCTGATCAATAACACTACTGATCTTCTGGAGTTCCACGACAAGAATTTCACGTGATATTAACAATGACTTGACAAGTTCAATCTCCCTCGAGTTCATTCCTTGTCCCAATAACTGAAAAACAAAACATTTAGCTCATATAATTTTGTAGCTAAGAAAACCTTTCAGGTTAAAATAGTTGAGATGGCTTCCTAGAACTCATTTTACAACAAAAAATTAAAACTATTTTAATTATCAATATTTTTTATTTCTGTTGTTTAGAAGTTTTTCATCTATCTTGGCCAAATCTAAGAAGGTTGGTTTGCCTTATTATTATAGTCAGTAAGCAGCAACAGAGCAACAACAATTTTAAATTAAGCTAATGATCAAAATGAAAACTGAAAGAAATTGTTATACAACAAGCACACTCATCACAGGTGAAAACTTATGGCATTCACAGGAAAGAAGGAAGAAATTACTTGGTTTGGTTGTTTATAAATTCCTTTCGCATCAAGTTCCACCAAGCGAGATCCGCTAAACATTCATAAAGGAACAATATAAGTAGACATAAAAGTTCTTGTAACTTGATACTACAAAAAAGCTGAGACTCTACAAACCTGGGTACCTTCTGGGAAGTCATACCGGCTTTCAAAAGAACAATATGTATGCTTAGATCAACAAGTACTGCATGGAATACGTCAAAATGAATAGGACAGTATGAGTGTATGCCAAGCAATGCTTTAGGAGGAATCCTGAATTCATGAATTGCTGTAGGAAATGCCTCAAAAGTACCCTGCATCTCCATGCTGTAATAAAACAGAAAGGATTAGAACGAGGTACAGCAGATTCCATTATTCTTCAGTTGCATAGCTTCGACAAGTTACAATGTAGGCACAGTAGCAAATATATAGAAGAGGAGATTTGAAGAGTCCACTCACCCATTTTCCAAAAGAGGAGAATACATGAGCTCAAATTTTAGTATTACTGCTGACGTTGCAGGCATCTGCCATACGAAGTGTGTAAATAATAATAGTAATACATAAAATGTAATGTTCTTAGAAAGTGAAAAAGAAAAGGATAAAGAGAACCTCAATTAAATGAAAAAAGCCACAATTTGAATTGGAAAAAACTGTGAAATGTTATTCCTTAAAGATCATCTTCCACAAATCAAATTAGGAAAGCTAACCTCATCTGATCCGATATTTAGGTTAAAAGAGATCATTACGGACAAAAGGACATCCTGCCTTGCATATTTTATCCGAAATGGCTGTGTAAAGAAACTCTGTTCAGCATCATCTATCCTCCAAACACCCAAGATATCATCTGAGGCCATGTCAGGGGCTGCATAATCAAACTGGCATATTATTATCTTTAATAAAAAGCTCAACATAAAAACAGTTTATGATGAAAAGATCAGTCTCAAGTTTCTTTATACCCATGCCACATTGAAAATAGGGGTGGGCAGGCGAGTTGATGTAAGATTGAAAAAAAAAATGTAAAATTGAAAAAACAGTAAATATACAATTCGTTTCACTACAAAGAAAATCAGACAGAAGTAAGATTGAAAAAAAAAAAGGTGAATAAAATTTTAAGCAGGGTAACAAATTTCAGTAATGCATAGAATCAAAGGTACGCCCTTAATGTCAAGAAAAATATGACAACATCATTAAAAGAAGAATAAATGAGATTTATGCATGGTGATTGAAAACATATTCATCATAGAAAGTGACTTTTCATGGAGAAAAATGTTATTTGGTGTCGCATAGAAAGTGGTGATTCATGGAGAAGAAGGTTATTTGGTGTCAGCCCTTAAAAGGAAATGCCATGTATGCATACACTTAAGAAAACCACTGCTGGTGATGTAACAAGTCACAAAAAGATGGAAACAATATTTCAATTAATGATGCTACAAAGAATACACTACAAGATACTATTGCATGATTCTAATTCAATCTTGAACACCCTCACCTAATTCACTACTTACTTACTAACTATTACTGCATTCGGTACAAGTGGACCCATCAAACCTTTCTAGTTTCTACTAACCTTTCCACGTTGCAGATCGAGTACCTTTCATCTTGCCATATTCAATTATTTGTTTAGCATAAAATTTAATAACGCAATCATTACAATCTGAAGGACTTCAAAGGCAAAAAAGCCTGTTTACATACGAGGCAAAGTAATATTAGTTTGCTACTTTGCTGATTAAATCACATATGCCATGATACAAGGAACTACGGTTTCCCAAGAATGTTTTATGTATCTGAAGAGAGGTAAAAACAGAAGTAAGAATGCTTTGGCCAAAATTAAATCCCACCTAAGAAGTCCATAAGAGGAAAATGCTTTATTTTATGTCTAATTAGGATAATTTCTATATCGGATGTCCATCCAACAATGTAAAAGTGCTCAATAAAGTATTATCTCCTATGAAGTTGGTACTTTGATTACATTTAAGTTTTATACCATAATCATTAAAATCTGTCGGGCTTCAAAGCCATAAATGCTCTTTGCCTTATGTCACAAAACAGAAGTAATCTTATTATTAATTTGCTTATTACACCACATATTTCATGGAACAAGAAGCTATAGTTTCACCAGAATTTTTTAAGTACTCAATTGTGGGAGAACAGAAGAATGATTTGGCGAAAACTCAACCTCAGCTAAAAGTCCATAAAAGTGAAATGTTTTACTTAATGATCTAAGAATAGAATCTATATTATATATCCATCCAAGGAGTAAAAGTACTCAACAAAGTATTACCTCCTGTGAAAGCAAGCGTTTAAGAAGACTATGAAAGAGGGTTAAGAATAATGTGTTGCTCCCTAGCAATGAAGCCCAATTCATGTTAATCTTCATCATCGTCCGGCTTACAAAAACAATTTGAATCCTCACATTCAAGTTGTTGCAATTGACTATGACCTGCGATGTTAGTTTTATTCTTCATAAATCATTTTAAACAACTTTCCATAATATCTTAGGACTGCTTCATCTCCTTCATAATTCTATAAAACTTATCTTATACACCCTTCTAATTACTAAATTTTCAACCTTTCACTCTACTTGTCCAAAACACAAATCTATTTCAACTATATTAATCCTCCAACCTGTCATCTAATATAATCATTCATTAATTTAACACTCCTAGATTTGCCATAAATCCATCTTAAGTTCTTAACATTTTATTATAAATCAGCTATCGCCATTAAAAAAAATCTAATCATTCAAGAAAATACCTAAAAATTTCTATAAATTATCATTTTATTATAGAAACTATGACGCTCGGACAAATTTGGCTAAATTATTGCAATACCAAAGAGCAACTCATAGATATTTTCACTTCCAAGAGAAAGATTTTGCTGTCTTTGAGAGCTCATAAAAGTTTTCAAGCAAATGCATTAAGGGGGGAGTGTTAGAATTAACTCATTTGACTAAATTTCTAAAAAAAAAATGTAAAGCTCTCTACATATCTCCTAGAAATCCATTTGATACGTAGGAAACATGTGACTTATTAAATTTACATGACTTTTCTATTACTAGCAACATTTAACTACAATCATAGAAGGTAAACACAAATTGCCTCAACTTCCATATATTTAGAATTATAATTTCTAGTGATACAAAACAAGTAATCTGGATATAGAAGCAGCAATAAACACTCTAAAACCAGTCTCACTGATGTTAAATGATCAGAAAGTCACTATTAGGTAAGCGTTCTAGACAATGATGAGCAAATTAGCCAGGCGATAAAAAAACACAGATACTTCAGCTACAGTACCTTCATACTGAACAACCCTTGACGGAGTACCACGAGACCGCTGTCCACCATCCTCCCATCTCAAGCTAACTTTTACCTGGTACCATCTGTCAATTAGAGACCGTCAAGAGCAAGCCACTATACCAAGAATCTGAAGTAAGCTATAACAAACCAGCACATTCCATTCCCTAGCCGTTACCCTTGTTGAAAGAGATCAAGATTATGGAACCGATGAATGTATATGGCGATCTCATGCACCATCTCCAACATATCCGGCTGCCTGAATTCAACGGATCTCAGCGGAGACACCGACTTGGCATCAAGCAGTCTCCTTGGCTGCGGAATCTTCGGATCAAGGCCGAGGAAGCATTTCATCAGCCTAAACATATGTGATTAGCAAACCAAATTCTCACCGATATTCGCATCACTGTACACTCCTTCAACACAAATCCATATTGTAAACACCATCCAATTCTCCTCAAGAGCATCCCATCCCTGACTCGAACACCCAATGACTCCACAGGGATAAATCGCGAATCCCACGAGTAGATTACTCGCAGGTACGCGCAATGCTCGGGTTCCAAAGACCTAATATGGTCGCAGAAGATATCAAAATGGAATCGAACGTTCTATGGCTTCTTCTCCTCTTCTTGCAGATTTTGAAGCTAGGGTTTTGTTCAGGAATGGAAGGAAGCAAGTGGCTGAGAGATGGATGAAAATATGGGAGCAGTTGGTTCGCAGCTAGCCGCGCCAGCCGAGTTCGGAATGGAAGCGAGGTCGATCGACCGATCTCAGCCGTTCAAAAGATTCATTCATGTCGCAAGTCTCGCCGTGCATTTATTGCTACCCATAAATATGTATCTAATCTGAATCCATGATTGCTATAATTTACCACGTTGCCACCAAAGTCTTATAGCGTTCATCAGAAACTGCACGAATCAGGAAGTAGCACTATGATCAAGACCGTCCATTATGGTCTGACCACGTTGCGTGCGATTTCATGGAAATCTTATAAAATGTTTGATTGAATAAGATCTGTATCGTCCGATTCGTGCCGACAAAATTAATTAAGGAATTGCTGTTATTTACTTAATTACTTCCATATGGCCAATTACTTAATGTGACTTTAGCATATTGAAATATATAAAAATATCAATTTTGATGGGTAAGTGAATTATTTTTTTGTCATATTCATTTAACTTTCATACAATAAAATACTCTTAATTTTCAAAATGCTACAGCATATATCATATAAAAAGATAGAATTTTCCATTTTGAAACTTGTGAATGACATTATTGTCGCCCACCACCGCTGTCGGTAGCCTCCCACTGCCTGTCGACCATCTGCCATAGCCATCGCTGTTATGCAAGCACTGATCACCGTAGGCAGCCACCGACTACCACCTTCATTTTACTTTACCTTGTATTTATTTTACTTCATGCCAAACAAAAAAGTAATTAATCTCAAATGACGGTGGTGGTATATATACATATGTTTTATAATTTATTTACTAAATAATTATTATATAGGTAATTTTTTTCAATTAAATTAAAATTTCAATTATGATGAGTCATGCAATCATATTTTTAAAATTTAGATAAATAAAAAAAAATTATTACACAATCATTTTATATGAAAACTATATATCACTCCTCCATCAATGTTGAGCTACTAACAGCACAGAAATTATTGCAAGATAAAGTTTAATCTTTGAATGTATCAAGATATTTGTTGGTTCATTAATTGTACGGCAAATATTCAATGGTGTACTAATTAACCTTTATAAATAGCCATATCATAGTTCATAAAGTGGGTTGGATTATTTAACTAAGACTTCATTTGATACAGCTTTTTTATTGTTTTCTAAAATACTATTTTTATTCAAAAATTAATAGTTTAAGTAACTTCTATATAAAAAAACTCTTTTAGAAAGTAATAACAAAGTTGTCCCTTGACTTCATTTGATAAAGCTTTTTTACTGCTTTTAGAAGCAGCTTTGTAGTATTAAATTTTCAAAAAAAAAAAGGAATTTTTACATACATAACACTTAAAACCTCTCTATTTACTTATCTAACACCTAAACTTTAATATTTACTCTTCTACCACCTAAAAGCTCTATCCCTCCTCAAATATACCACACCGTTTCTCTCCCGTCAGAACCAACCCCCGAAAGCTGTATTTCGAGCGGGAATATCTTCTCCGATGATGCGGCGGTGGTGAGAGGGGGTGCTAGCCTTCGATGATGTGGCAACTGCTGCTCAGCCTTCTCGGGACGTTAGGCATCGGCCTCCTGTTAGGCATGAGTCTCCAAATCTACTTCATCCGCCTTCTAATTGAAGCTTCATGATGACTTGCTCTTCAATGGCCAATTCGCTGCTGCTTCCTATATTTGCGTGCGCTTTGCTTGTTGCTACGCTCGCCGCCGCAGGAAGCTTCAACAATGACTTCGACATTACTTGGGGCGACGGTCGCGCAAAGATACTCAATAACGGGCAGCTTTTAACTCTTTCTCACGTCGTTAGCTCCATTAGGAGGAGGCCGATGCCTAACGTCCCGAGAAGGCTGAGCGGCAGTCGCCACATCATCGAAGGCTAGCACCCCCCCTCGTCACCGCCGCATCACCGGAGAAGAAATTCCCGCGCGAAATACAGCTTTCGGGGGTTGGTTCTGACTGGAGAGAAACGGAGTGTTATATTTGAGGAGGGATAGAGCTTTTAGGTGGTAGAAGAGTAAATATTAAAGTTTAGGTGTTAGATAAGTAAATAGAGAGGTTTTAAGTGTTATGTATGTAAAAATCCAAAAAAAAATATTGAAAAAGCAATAAAAAAGCTATCCCAAACGAAGCCTAAGATGCTCATAAAAAAGAGAAAACTCTTGCTTATTTTAATGGTTGATTTACGAAAAATTAATAACTTTCTCAAATTAACTAAGGCTTTGTTTATGATAATTTTTTTATTGATTTTTTTAAAAAAAAGTTTTTAGTAAAAAAAAACTGTTCCAAACAAAGCCTACGTTTAGGATGACTTTCTTATTTATTTTTAAAGCAATTTTTTTGTTAAAAATTTGCTTTAAGAATCAGTAAGAAAATCACCCTAAGCAAAATATTAATTTATTTAATTCTAAAATTAATTTCATTCAACCATTTAAAACTCATTTGTGCAAGAAACGCTCTTGTTAGGCACTTTTTTCTCTAGAACAAATTTTATCATTATATTCCTGATTTTATCGAGACGTGGGAGAAAAGTAGAAGCATGGATGAAAGCAACATTGGTGATTGGTCAAGAGGATTTCACATTAAAAAAAAATATAATGCACCAAAATAACTTTACCAAATCACTCCAATACAAATAAACAAGAGATTTCAAGCTCAACGACAACAGATCCTAACAAGGTGTAAAGCACTCATTGATGCTAAGATTTTGTATGGGACGGTTTTTACTGCTTCTTGAAGCAGTTTTTTAGTACAAAATTTTTAATATTTGTTTTAGAAAATTGTTTTAAGAAGCAATAAGAAAGCTATTCTAAGGCTTCATTTGGGACGACTTTGTTTTTGTTTCTTAAAGCAGCTTGTTAGTAGAAAATTTTTAATTTTATACTAAAAAGATGTTTTAAGAAGCATAAAGAAAGCCGTCCCAAACAAAGTGTCTAAATAAAGCTTAAGAACTAGTTTGAGATGACTTTTTTATTGTTTCTTAAAGTAACTTTTAAGAACCAGTAAGAAATATGTCTCCAGACTCCAATGAAGCCTAAATAACAACTTTTTTAAAAAATTGCTTAAAGAAGAAGTAAGAAAGTCATCTCAAACGAAGCTTAAATAAAACAAACCACTTTCATTTTCTTATTAAAAAATGTAAATTGGGTTAAACTAAGGTTTCGTTTGGGACAACTTTTTTATTAATTGCTTTCTAAAACGGAATTTTAGTACAATTTTTTTTTTGTACAAAAACTCCGTTTTGAAAAGCAATAAAAAAGCCGTCCCAAACAAAGCCTAAGATTTCGTTTGGGACAACTTTATTTTTGTTTTTTAAAGCAACTTTTTAATACAAAAGTTTTAATTTTGATACTAAAAAACTGCTTTAAAAAATAGTAACAAAGCAGCCCCAAACAAAACCTAAACCCAACCCAAATTTTAATTAGGTCTACTTTAACCCAAATTTTTTGAATCGAGCCATGTTAGCTTTTTTATGCCGAGTTACATACGACAAGAAGAACAGATTTAAGAGTAGGGTTTGAGTTGGGGCAGTTGCCACCTTGAGGATCTTGATCTACTATAATAATCTGAATTTTGTATAAATGATTTTAAACTGAAAACTTAAAATTTTGCCAGTGGGAGCACTACAACACTCCGCATGAGGAACTTTTATTAGGTCAGGACACCTGACGTAGCTCTACATCCGGACGTCAATAAAATGTCACCACGTGTTCTTACTCTTTACCGCGCGGCCCGACGACCCGGCCCGGACCGGAACCGGTATTGCTATGTATTAGTTGATTTGTGCATACCATGGTATTGCTAGGTATTGCTTGGTAACGAGAAATACCATTATGTCAAGACCAATACCTAACAATACCGAGCAATACCAATCAATATCGAGCAATACCCCGATTTTGCTAAGTATGGCTCGGTATTGGTCTTGAAAGAGCGATATTTCTTGTTATTACCAAGCAATACCGAGCAATACCTTGCAATACCAAGAAATACCTAGCAATACACGAACATAGCAATACCGGGTTCCGGTCCGGGTCGGGTCTATTAGACATGCCATTATATAAAATAAATATGCTTCCACGTGTAATAATATTATTGGTCACTTTATGGCCTGCTACCTATTCTAGCTATATATAGCTACCTGTACTCTCTTATCATCAATATAGAAATTACCTTCTCAGTCTTCAACTTGTTGCTTTCTCTCCTTTCTTGTTTCAGTTCTGCTCATGGCCAATGCTTTCAGGGTCGTCGAGCTGCGCGATAAAGAGTAATAGCACGTGACAATATTTTATTGGCGTCCGGATATAGAGCTACGTCAGATGTCCTGACCTAATAAAAGTAGCCGCATGAGAGCGCAACAGCGCTACTAGTGCGAAGCCTCAACGCTGAGCTTTCTGGAATTTTGAGGAATGGGCATTGTTTTTCATTTTGATGTATATAATTATAGTTACTTCCATTGGTTTTAAATTGTTTAAAATGAGATGAGCAGCTTTGTTAGACAGATTGAGAGTTAAAACCAACAACTCTGCGTGACATCTATGCCGAAAATAAATAAATAAATAAATAAGAAAATAATTTATTATAATTCAATATTAATGACATTAAGAAATTGATTATCATATATATGTATATATATGAACTTTATAATATTTTAATTATATACAAATATTATATGTTCCTGAAGGTCCAAAACCTCTTTGCTGATTGCTCATTGCTCAACTCAGTGGCGGAGCCAGAAAATGTATTTAGGGGGGGCCTAATTTTTTTTTTCTTTCAACTTTTTACATTCGACTTGGGACCAACATAGTCAATTTTAAAAATGATAAAACTTTGATAGTGAATTAGTTT